GGTTGTTGGGAATTGAACTCAGGACCTCTGGAAGAGCAGTCAGTGCTCTTAACCTCTGAGCCACCTCTCCAGCCCTGAACTGACTTTTTAAGGGGACAGGACTCTGGGACAAAAGCCAGGCCTTTTGCACGCCAGGCAAAGTCTCCACCTCAGTTATACTCTGCTCTGACTGACTTCTGTCAGTGAAGACTTCGGAACTCTCTGTCTCTTCCCCTCTGCAACAACAGCAGGAGGGGACATCCAATCGCTCCTCAAGCTCACTGACGTGCCATAATGAAACGTTTAGAGTCACTTATAAGCCAACCAGCAGGGGTGTGACTTGTGATCCCAGCACCTGAGAGGCTGAGGGTCTCAATTCCAAGCCCACCTAGACAACAGAGGGAGACTATGTCCCCCAAAACACAAAAAGTTGGAGGGCTGGTGAGAGGCCCCACAGGGTGGAGATGCTTGCTGCCAAGCAGACAACCTGAGCTGGATCCTTGGAATCCACAAGGTGGAAGGAGAGCTGACCCCCACACCCGTCCTCTGACCTCCATGGGCATGCCATGGCAAGTGGACGGACAGACGGACGAACGGACAGACACACACACACACACACACACACACACACACACACACACACACACACATATAAATGTGTTTCTAGAGAAAGAAAAAGGCTGAGTACAGAAGCTGAAGAATGAATGTGTGCACTGTCAGGGCTGGGCCTTGAACTGCATCCCCATTTGTTTATTTATTTATTTATTTATTTATCTATTTATAGTTGAGACAGGTTTGGACTTAATTGCCCACCTAAAGGAAAACAATCACTGAGTGTGATGGTACACCCCCTTAACTCCAGCACTCAGGGAACAGGCAGGTGGATCTCTGTGAGTCTGAGACCAGTCGGTCTACATATCAGCTCCAGGACAGCAGGGCTACACAGACCCTGTCTCGGAAAAAATAAATAAATAAATAAATAAATAAATAAATAAATAAATAAATAAATAAATCAGCCAGTCTACACTCTATGTCTCAGGAAGTTTCCTTTCACCAAGTGGTGGTGACACAGGCCTTAATCCCAGGCAGAGGCAGGCAGATCTCTGAGTCCCAGGCCAGCCTGGCCTACAGAATGAATTTAGGACAGCGAGGCTACACAGAGAAACCCTGTTTTAAAAAACCAAAAAATAGAAAAATAAATAAATAAGTAAGTAAATAAGTAAATAAATAAATAAAACAAGCAAGTAAATAAACAAAACTCCCAAACTCTCCATCCTCCTGCCTCAGCTTCCCAAGCCAGTGCTGGAATTACAGGCCTTTTACTCCTAGGCTTGGCTCTAAGAAAAAACATCTGCTGGATGGGAGTCAGGGCTGCTGAGTTTAACGGTCTGCAGCTGCCCGTCAGGGCCAGCCTCAGCCAGGCCTCCCTGGAGCTCTGGGCTCTGCAGGGGATCCGGTGGCTGGGGTTAGGAGGGAGATGAGCCCTAGCACTGGGTCCAGTGGGGGCGGGGCGGGGCTGTGCCGGTGACGTCACAGGTGCCGGAGAGGATCAGCATGGCCTCCCAGCCTCGGACTGTGCTCATCTCTGGCTGTTCTTCAGGGATTGGCCTTGAACTCGCTCTTCAGCTGGCTCATGACCCCAGACAATGTTACCAGGGTAAGGACTCGCTTCCTAGGGCCACAGTTTCTGGCGCTATCTCTATTATCCCACCCTCCTGGGTGCAGGCTGATACATGGGCCTGGGGACGCATAGAGGGAAGCTTCTATTACACTCACTTACTCTCTCATCTCTTAGATGTTTCTTTTTAAGATTTGTTTATTTTTATTTTCTGTGTATGAGGGTTCTGCCTGCACGTGTGTCTGTGCACCGCTGTGGACCTGGTGCCCAGGGAGGTCAGAGCGGGCGCTGCATTCCCTGGAACTGCAGTTACAGACACCTGTGAGCCACCCTATGGGTGTTGAGAACTGAACCCCAGTCCTCTGGAAGAGCAGCCAGTGCCCGTAACCTCTGAGTCATCCCCCAGCCCCTCACATGTATTTCTTAAGTGCTGGATGGCAGATAGGAAAAGTTACGAACAAGAAACCTCTGTGTGCCTGCCTGTGTGCGTGCGTGCGTGCGTGCGTGCGTGCGTGCGTGCGTGCGTGCGTGCGTGCATGTAGACCAATTGGTAGTGTGTTTGCCTAGCATGCACAAAGCCCTGGGTTCTATGCCCAGTTGTAGTGGCACATGCCTGTAATTCCAGCACTCAAGAGGTGGACAGGGATCAGGAGTTCAAGGTCAGCCTCAGCTACACAGCAAATTCAAGACTAGCCTGAGTTACATGAGACCCTGTCTTGAAAGGAAAATTAAAAAAGCAAACAAACAAAAACAAAAACAAATCAGCCACAAGCCAGGCCCATGACAGGGCGTATCTGAAATTCTAATATTCAAGGGGGGAGGATTCTGAATTCAAGGTCAGTCTAAGCCACATAGTGATACCTATCTCAAAACAAAATAAGCAAGCAAACAAAAATTCCTCAGCTCTGGATAGTGTGCAGTGGGAGAGGGGAGAAAAGAGAGGCAATAAGATTTTTTTTTAAATGCAGGTTGGGAATGGTGGTGCAGGTCTGCAATCCTAACATTCCGGAGCAGAAGCAAGAGGATTATGATAAATTCAAGGCCAGCCTAGGCCATATAACAAGATCTTGCCTCAAAAAAACAAGAAAGAGAGAGAGAGAGAGAGAGAGAGAGAGAGAGAGAGAGAGAGAGAGAGAAGCATGCCCAGTGGTAATAAGAGCCATGTATGGTGGTATAAGCCTGTAATGCCAGCACTCAGGAGGCAGAAACAGGGATCTCTTGAGATTGAGACCAGCCCGGGCTACAGAGCGAGCATTGGCTGCTCTTGCAGAAGATCCGAGTTCTATTCCCAGCACTGACATCATGGCTCACAATCATCCAGGACCCCAGTTCCAGAGCACCCAACAGGCACACAAATACAGACAAAAGCATTCATACACATAAACTAAATAAATAAATAAATCTTTGGGGGGTGGAGTGTTGTGGAAGAGCTGTCCCAGAAAACATCTCAAAGGAGGCTGGCTTCAGCCTGCGAGGATGGTCACTGGCAATGTCCCCACTAAGCCGGATTATAGCTCCGAGATGAAACTCTTACTGTCTTAAAGTGCACCTGACCCTGGGGACTTAAAGGGGCCTTTAACTACTGCAGTTCACCCTGTGCTGTGCAGGCCAGCCCCGGATCCTCTGACCCAGAGCATGTGTGAGAGGAGGCTGGCAGAAACCGTCACTCTGGAGCCCGCTGCCAGGGTGAGGACATCACCCTAGTTGGCAGAGCTGATTCTCCCAGCCTTCTGGGTTAGAGGTGGGCATAGCTGTGAGTGTGTGAGCATGAATTCCTCTGTGAACAAAGCTGCATCCCTGTGTGTGGGTATCCATCTCCTAAGGGGCCCACAATAGGGCTCAGCTGGTAAAGGTGCTTGCCACAGAGCCAATGACCTGAGTTCAATCCCTGGGATTGAACACCTGGTGGAAGAATAAAACCAATTACTACAAATTGTCCTCTGAGCTACACACACACACAATACACAAAATAAAAGTAAAGCTTTTTTTTTTTTTTTTGGTTTTTTAGGACAGGGTTTCTCTGTGTAGCTTTGGAGACTGTCCTGGAACTCACTCTGTAGTCGAGGCTGGCCTCAAACTCACAGAGATTCACCTGCTTCTGCCTCCCTGAGTGCTGGGATTAAAGGGGTGCGCCACCACCGCCCGGCTAAGTAGAACACTTTTTAAAAATAATATTGCTAAAGGGGGTTGGGTTTCTCTTGCTGTTGGTTGCACTGTGTGTGTGTGTGTGTGTGTGTGTGTGTGTGTGTGTGTGTGTGTGTGTGTGGTAGGTTGTACATATTTGTCACAGAATTTCATATATAGTGCATTTGTTGGATTGGTGCTAAATGTAAATGTGTAAACATGTGGGTCTCTATCTGTGACTATTTGTGCAAGACCATAGAAACAGCTGGGCATG